AAGATCCCAAAGGACAACCCAGTAACTGCAGAAAATGGGTTTCAAGCAGCGTCTGGCTGACTTGCGCATAGCCGAATTGATACGTAAAACTGGCGAGCTGGGTCACGGATAGGAGAATGGCAGATGGAATCCACATCCTGGGATGCTCGGGAACTTAGACCGCTACATACCGCTACCATATAATGGACCATTACGAACAGTAAATCGAAGGGTTCCCGTATTGTGGGAGTGGAACTCAAGGCAAGGTCTTGAACAGCAACCGAGAATCCGTGCGTTGAGGAAGATCAATCCAGCGATCAAGTGGCCAGTTGACGTAAGGCTGATCCCCATCATGTGCTCCACTGCACTGGTGGAGCTTGATGCACGCGCAAGAGAGTAGAGATGAAAAAAGCTGCAGAAAAATCGGCTGAGATATGTCAATGTCCTGCTTGTGAGCTTTAAGCGCCCGGAGGCCACTCCTGCATCAAGGAAATAAATACATAGCAGCGGCGCGACAGGCAACAAGTTGGCCATAGCAGGCTCTCGACGATACCGGTTGATGTGATCCAGTATGAGGAGTAGTGGGAACTGCATTCCCAGGAGAGATACCATGAAATAGTTGGATGCTCTAACTTTTACAAGGCGCTCAAGGAGACGGTCGCCTGAACTGCTCTGGGAAACTTCTTGCTGCGAAGTGAGTACATCGCAGGCTTTTCGGAGGCCACGCACGACGTGTCCTCCTAGAGCATGCCAATGAGCGCTTGCGATAGCAATCGCAATCGCAGTAAAAACAAGATCACCCATGGCTAAATGTCAAAGATGCTTCTTCTTCAAAGAAACGCAAGCAACAACGAAGATGCGTTGCTAAGATGAAATGATCTGCTGTGTTGAAATCGAAGATGCATTGGGTGGCTATGTTTCTTGGCTTTCATCTTGCAAGTGCAAGCACGTCCCAGAGAAAGACTGAGCTTTGTAACTGCGGGTCACACGCCCTACCCAACATTACCCCAATAATGGAGAATCAAATGAAAAGAAAATGGAAAATGAAATGAAAGCTGGGATTATATTGGGGTTATATAATATTCCATTGGTGCCTTCATGGAAACTTTCATGCCATCACCTGACGGGTGGCTAGTAAGCAATGGAGGAATGCATCCCTACAGTAGTCCCTATATGCTCCTCCAATTTGCCAGGCTCTGCGCAACCCATTCCTTAATCCCCTGCCAGCCAAGAGCGAATACCAGCAAGTAATGTGTCACGCTGCCCTTGGTCTCCTAAAAAATTGGGTACGGGATAACTAAGACCCATGTGGCCAGTTATTAGCTCTTTTACATCGCTGTAACCCTATGTAAGCTCAGTTTCCACTTCATTTCCATATTCTTTTCCATTTGGGTCGCAATCATAGGGGTTGACGAAAATCTCAAAAAATCATGTGTCGAGTGAGGGCCAGGGCCAGGCCGTATCCACGACCTTGAACGCCCCTTTCCCAAACTGATTCATGCCTTCTGCTAGGATTTAGGGTATCTGGGGGGTTTAGGATTGAGGGCTTAGAGTTTAGGGACGTTACCCCCAATTCTGAGCAAAAAATGGAAAATGAAATTGGAAAGGGTGCTATGTAGAGGTTTTTCAAGGGGATGGCATGTAGGGGCCTGAATCATAACCAATAGTGAGGCTATTTGAGGTACCCTATACCAAAAGGCTATAAGGAATCAGGGACCACAATGCTGGTAATATTTTAGGCTTCTACAGTCATGTCTTCTGCGGTTAAGGGTCTATCTTCCCCAATAACCAGGGCTGAAAAAGCTTTACCTTTATTATAGAGACCCCAAAAAGCAAGCCCACAAGTTTAAAGTTCTTCTATTGGCTAAGTAAGGGGGTTACAATCTAGGGTTCAGGGTGCGCTGCTATAATTTGCAGGCAGCATGTCAGGGCCTGGGTTCTGGCTAGGTGGAAGGTGTTTTAGGGTTTAGGGTTAGTGCCAGGTAACCCTTGCGGAATTCATCCCTGCTTTCCCCTAAACCCTAAACCCTAAACCCTAAACCCCAAAACGGAAACCCGCGCCAAACGGACAAAATCCCTGCGTGCGCGCGGGATGAAACTACTGGGGCTCCTCCATGAGCTTCTACAAGAGAGCTGAATAATAAGAGGGTTTAGGGTTTAGGGTTTAGGGTTAATAAGAGGGTTTTGGTAACCCCAACCCCCAAAATGAGGACCCCATGACTATCATATGATGGCTGTAGGGTCCTAATTTTGGGGGGGTTGGGGTTACCAAAATCCCCTTGTTACTGAAGGGTGTTGGCTTTGGCGTTAGCAATTGAACTAAGACACATTACGATCTTATTCTAACTCAACCCCTAAAAGCTAAACCCTAAACCCTAAACCCTAAACCCTTAAGCGCAACTCAGCTGGCCTTGAGGGTGCAGACGGAGAGGCACCAGAAATGCTTGGGCTGGGGACCTGCGCGCATGGTGAAATACGACCCACGTGCTTTAGAGTCACTGTGTCCATCGTTCTGACACATGTTATAACACCCTATACTAACATGTTGGGATTGTAGTATGGATATACCCTTACAAGAAACGGAATACAGTGCGCATGGTTCCTCTCCAAGGGCATAACATTCCCAGGCAAAAGACTTCTGGGGAAGGGTTGCGGGGTGGAGGTTACATCCAGGATGAGGCAGTTTGAAATTTTCGGGGTTGCCTGACTTTGGGGGATTAAAAATTGGGTTTAGGGCTTGGGCCGAGGGTTTAGCGACCCCAGAAGAAAAATAGGGATGATGGGGTGATTATGGGTGTCCCTGTGCGGGATTATGGTCTGTTGAGAAACTCCCATTTCTGCTGATGGGCAAAACCCTTCGTCATCTAAAATGCTCAAAACCTAGGAACCATGGTGGTATAGTCTACTCAGGGCCAGACAGAAAAAGATCCGTCAACCACATGGAAAAGGTCTAGAGTTTGGGGTTGACTATAAGCATTTTAGGGGTCCTGCGGTGTTTATTGATTTCAGCTGTTTAGGCCGCAATCCTACATCCTGAACCCTAAACCCTAAACTCTAAACCCAAAATCCTCAACCCTAAACTCTGATTGGGTTCTGGCTTTGGGGTAAGTTTTTCAGCCTCCATGTCTCAGCCTGGAGAAATTTTATCTATGTGCGTAAACAATATGCTCCTATGAGAAGACGCACCTGTTGACTTTATATCGGTCAATCTGCTTAATATGTATGTATTTATCTAGATGTGTGCATGTAAAACTTGGCAGGGTTCTACTCTGAAAAGGCTGGTTAATGGTGAATGGTACAGGGAATTTGGATTGAACCGTCTGCAGGCTGTTTTGCCTTGAAACGATCCCTAAACCCTACACCCCTTAACCCCAAACCCTCAGCCCTAAACCCCTTAACCTAAACTCCAAGCCCTAAACCCTCAACCCTAAACCCCTTAACCCCAAATCCTAAACCCTAAACCCTGAACCTTGAAAGGATGGCGGTCTATCAGGGTGTAGGAGATGCGCTGGCGTCGTAAACCCTACAATCCCTACACTATACTTGAAGAGTTAGGGGGACTTAGTAAATAGGTTGAGGTTTTTTTTTAAGGTTTGAGGTTTAAGGTTTGGGGTCAGGGGGACTTAGTAAGTAGGTTGTTATTACCCCTGGAGTAACCCTAGTTATCCCACTAATAGCTTACTTACTAAGTCCGCATGACCCTCAACGTATACTATGTAGAAACTGTTCAAATCGGATTGGGGGGTGAATGGGGATTGGTGTGCACATCTACGTACTAATGCTTAAGGGAGTGGGGGAGGCAAGGATAGAAGACAACCCATAGTATTAGCGCATAGGTTTGGGTTTATGGATTCTGGCCTCACAAATGGAAGTTTCTCAAAAAGGGGAGGGCTGTTCGGACCCCACGGGATATGTTGGTGGTTCTAAGCATAAGATTATGCGGGGGAGTCCTTATTACTAGGTGCCTCGTTGAAATTCATGGGAAACGTACCTAAAACTGGGGTGAAATCACTTCACAGCAGCTTCGGACTCCCTAGCCCTTCAATTCAAATAAGCAAAACAAGGTGTAACTAAAATGAGGGGTACCATTTTGGGAGTCCCTATAAAAAGGACTATAGTATTTGGGGGTCCATATTGGGGTCCGCCTATTTTTGGAAAACTACGAAACCCCTCAGGAGGGCAGTTACCAGGTGGGTACCCCGGTATACGGCTCATACTTTGCTCGTAGCAGAGTAATGGGCAATATTGGGTCCATATGAGCTCTAGTCTAAACTCCTAGTATCCCCCTTAATATCCCCTATAGTAGTCCCCTATAGAATCCCCTATATTACCCCCCTTTAAGGAGTTTAGATTACAGCTCATATAAGCCTCTGTTAAGGGTACCCACCTGCCAACTAGCCACCTGGGGGCTTCCTTGCGAAGGACTGTGTAGGCGGTCTTCGAAGTGAAGAGCTCGAGCACGCACTCTGAATGTTCCAGCCCCGCCAAGAAACCAGTCTACCTCATTGTTTACTCATGTTGTGTGGTACTCAAAACACATGTGCCTCTAGCATTGGCTCGGCATACTTCTTGCACACATGCTCGTACATCTCCCACTCGGACCCGGCATACCTGGAGAGCTTTGAGTTGTAGGGTGCCTTAAATCCTAAACCCTACGCCCCAAACCCAAAACCTAAAGCAGGGAGTGAAGGCGTCAGCTTCTTCACATCAGGTTAAGCGTAGAAACGCTCACAGAGCAAATCCAACACAGTTTTGCGTTTAGGGTGCATTCCACATATCACAATCTAAGACCACAAGCCTTAACAACATAAATAGTCTCAACCCGAACTCGCTGAAGGTCCATTGAGACTTTATCCTACTCCTGGCAATTCTCGTCACCCAAGGTTACCAGAATATGGGTATATGGTAAATAGAAGGGTTTCCCTATCATAGTAACCCTAAACCCTAAACCCTCAATCCTACACCCTAAACCCTCGACCCTACACCCTTTTTGTAGTAACTGAATTAAAATTTCTTAAGAGCAACCCCAGTTATGACAACATTAGGAAACTCACGGGGCTAATAATTGGATTAAGGTTTAGGGTTTAGAGTTTAGGAGTTTAGGGTTTTAGAGTTAGGGATTAGGGGCCTATAAGTTATAAGTGTTATGAAATGACCC